GAGCTGTAACCTTGTGCCAGGGGACATTTAGACAGGAAGAAAATCTTTCTTACTTCCGAGCACTTCATTCCTTGCTATTGGTGGGGTCCTGGGCAAATCTACTTTTCTCTTGTCTCTACTTTTCTCTTGTGGCCTCCAAGGGTGGCTGCCAGCAGGGCTCACAAAAGCGTGCAGAGCCTGTGTAAAGAGGCCCGCAGCCAGCCCTCCCTCCCTGCTGCCTGCTGTCCCTAGGGGCCTCGGGTGTCCTTCTGCACGGACAACACCTGGGCACTCTGTGTGAGCAGCCTGCCTGCCATCTTCCCCCTCAACTGCTCGTCGAGGGAGTAAAGGCAGAATTGCTCAGACAATTTGAGCTCCGTCTCGTCTCTGGTAACAAAAGACTTGACCCAGCCTGGAGGCCCGGCACTAATTATGTGCTGCAGAAAGGCTGTTGGGACATCTTGAGTTTGTAACTCATCTCAAATAATTTAGAACCTTTTAATTTGCAGCAAATCCAATTCCCTCACCAACATCTGTGGTAAAATGTTAGGAGCCTGTATGGAGACCAAGTCTGGAGAGGGTTTTTTTTCCCCACCACCAAATCCAAGTTACAGTCTTACCATATGTAACTGGTTCCACACAGCAGATCTATGTACATTTTCAGTAGTTTCAGCTGAAACCTGTTAAGAACAGATGTGCAAATGGTTTCCTGGCACTGATCCGTTTAAATGTATTTTTCCACGAGCAGCTTTTTCTCTCTGCCCCTTCTTGGAGGAGGGAAGAACAAGAAAGTGGAACCATCACTAAAGTAGGTATTACACGCTCCTGAGTTCTCTGCAAGCAGTGTTTGCCATCGGTTTTCAAATAGCAGTTTGGCACATGAGTTTCAAATAGCAGTTGGTTTTCAAACAGTTTGAACACAGGGCGTACAGCTGGAGGACTGTGTTTGCTCTGAGACTGTGGCTGGGAGGATGGGCCTGTAGCTCTCTCTAGCTGCCCTCTGCATGCAGGCCGGCCTCTCCCTGCTGCTCAGGACATACGCAGCCTCTGAGGGGAGGCTTGAGCATGCAAGCTATCCACCTTTTTGACCCTTTCTGGTTTTTTAAGCTGAAAAAAAATACTAGAAACCCCTATAACTCGGCAAAAACAAAAAACAAATAATCTGATATAAAAATTAAATGAGCAAAAGGACTTGAAGGAACATTTCTTCAAAGATGATAGACAAGTGGCTCAGAAGCACATGAAACAATAGTTAGTATCCCTAAAGAAATGCAAATCACAATGACATGGAGATACCCCCTCACACCCATTAGGAGGGCTAATTTAAAAAAAGCAAAATATCAAATGTTGGTGTGGCTATGGAGAAATGAGAACCCTCATACTGTGCTGGTGGGAATATGAAACAGTACAGCTGCTGTGGAAAAAAGTATGGTGGTTCCTCAAAAAAATAAAAATAGAATTACCATATAATCCAGCAATTCCTCTTCTGGATAGATAGCCAAAGGAACTGAAAATGAGGTCTCTTGGGATATCTGCACTCTCATGTTCATGGCAGTGTTATTCGTAAGAGCCAAAAGGTGGAAGCAACCCAGGTGTCCATCAACAGAGCAATGGAGAAAAAAACATGTGGTCTATGCATACAATGGAATATTATTCAGCCTCTAAAAGGAAGGAAATTCTGACATACGGTACAATATGGATGAACTTTGAGGACATTATGCTGAGAGAGATAAGCCAGTCACAAAGAGGCAAATCCTGTGTGATTCCACTTCCATGAACTATGTAGAGTAGTCAAATACATAGAAACAGAAAGTAGAATGGTGGCTGCTAGGGGCTGGAGGAGGGGAGAATGGGAAGGTAGTGTTTAACAGGCATTGAGTTTCAGTTTTGCAAGATGAAAACAATCTGGAGATGGGTTGCATAACAATATGCATATATTTAATGCTACTGAACTGTCCCCTTGGACTGAGATGGTGAAAATAAAAATAGGGGCAGAGGGCCTAAACCTGACACTGATCTAGGACAGATGGTGGGGGACTTCAGTGTGGAGACACACACCCATCAGGCCTTCTGGCCTGTTGGCTGTGGAGATTACAACTAAGACGGCGGGGTTGGGGAGAGAGAAGATGGGTTCAGTTTTCCTAGTCTGATTGTTTGATGGAGTGCTCTCAAGTAACGCTCTTCTCTCCACCTTCCCATTTCCCACCTGATGGAATTCAGCAGCAGCCCAGGTCTCCGTCCACTTCAGGGGGTCCCCCTGGTCATCTCAGCCCTTCTCTCCCTCCATGGCCTCTGCCTCCCCGGTGGCTGGCACTGGGTGTGAGGGGCGCCTGATCTGCCCTCTGTGGTCTCTGTGTGACCGCAGCACTCAAGCCTCCTCCAGTCTGCAGTGCCCGGCCCACTGACATTGCTCGGGCATTGAGAGGAGGGGAAGGAGCTACAGCTGGGGCTATGATGGCAGATGAGCCCCAGAGGTTCAATGCCAGCTGGGAGAAGCAACACCACTTCCAGTGCCAGTTCGGCCACACCCGTGAGGCCAAGGCTGCCCCAGTGTGCCATGGCTGAGAACAGGGTGAGGGCCCAGCTGGGCTTCGCAATCTCAAAAGATTCCAGGTCTTCTGGGGGCTCTGTCTTCCTGAGTTCTGTCTAGCCTGGTCACTTGCACAGGGTACATAGTCTGGGAGCTGTAACATGCCCATGTTGCTAAGTACCTAGCAGGACCTTCTGGGCCGAGAATCACCACAGGCACCTCTGCATTTTCCTGCCAGCTGGGGCTCTGTAGGGATGTGTCTTGAGCTCTGAGCAGTGCAAGGTGCGGGGACCCTAGACAGAGCCCTGGCAGAGTGGCCTTTGGTAAGGTGGGCATTCCTGCCGCCTGAGGGGGAGCGGTTGGGGGAGGCGGGTGACAAGCCACCTTCCCAGGGTTTGGGTTCATCTGAGCCAGAAGATGAGCAGCTGGTTTGAGAGGTGAGATTAGATTCCCAGGGCAAAGTGGAGCCACATTTGTCTTAATGAGGAGAAAAGAACAAAATCAAAGCATTCATTAACACTTCAAAAGAGGTTAAAGGAGAACATTTGGTTCCCAATTACTGCCCTTCCTGGCCAGGCAAGGGTCTGGTGGAAAATCCCATTATCTTAATCCAGAGGGAAGATGCTATGGGCTTCTCTTGCTGACTAACAATTGGGAGTGGCTCCCTACTCTGAGAGGGCTGCTTCCAGGATCCCCAGCCCCAGGGAGACCTCTGACCTGTTCAGGAGGCTGTTCTAATGATTTATACTTGTTTGTGAAAACCTTGATCTTCTCCGGCTTCACATATCCCTTCTCTATTTCTTTTGCCTGATAGTTTTCTCACCTGCTATTTTTGCTGTATTTTTTTTCCCCAAAAAAGTTAACACTCAAAGGCCTTGATTTCTATAACCAATTGTGGGCTTTGCAGTAGCAAAAATCAGCAGGCTCAAAACTTGGCTCCTTTATTCATTTGACTCAAATGGGTTTGGGGCAACACCTCTAAACCCAAGACAGAAACGTCCAAATAGGGAACTGTTGCCTGCAATCTTGTCGCTCCTCCAGAGACCTGGGAGCACTCCACAGGTGGCCAAGGGTCCTCTGCCCAGGCCAGGAGAACTCTTGTCTAGTACTGCCCCTAATTAACAGAGACCATGGAGAGCCAGGTCAGACTTCCACTCTCTCTCCATCTCCTGCAGACTGCTTCTAGATCCCCTGCATTCACTCTGTGGCTACTCCCAATTCAGCAGCTTTCTCAGGCTCTACATTCCTATCCATCCCCTACTCTGATTTCCAAATATTATCATCATCAATACAGCGGTATTTCACGAAAATGACTGACAGCTCCATGATCTTTCTTTTCAGCCTCAAACAAAGGTGCACTTAAAAGATATGTGTGTGCGCACATGCGTGTGCATGCACACGCGCCTGAACGCGCACACCTGCCTAATGTACACTCTCCTAATGAAAAAATAGGATCGATTACAGAGAATGGCCGCGTAATGATTACAGAAAGGTATCTGAAGCATAACCCATTAGTGAGCTACATTTTGTTCAAAACTGAGGTACTCAGGCAGAATAACACGCCTTTGTACTGGAACGCATTCGGCTATGGCAATGACTAATAATATAGCCAAAGATCTGTTCACATTTTTCCCCTTTTGTGCCTATTTTCATAAGTTAATAACTCAAGCATGAAATTGTTTCAGGCTGAAAACTAGTGGTACGAGCAGGGCAAGTGTGTGGGAAACAACTTTTTGCTGTCGTTGTTACTTAATTTAGGTTGGCTGTTTTGAAGTTAAAGGAATAGAAATGTCTACGTGAGTTTTCTCTAGCAAAGTGTTTTCGTTCAGCCCAAGAAAGTTGGGACTTTATTGTGCAAAGCAAATTTTAACCACTACAGATAGAGGTTTCTCTTCGTGCAGGTGTGTGCTTCTGTTTGGTATAGGTTAGGATTGTTGCCAGGCAGGGGTGGGTGTTGTATGAAATTGAATCAGATTATAAATGACATCATCCCGCACTCACATGCCTTCAACCAGAAAATTCCTATCCCACCAACAAGTCAAACAGCTTGGTGAGCAAACAGCTGCCTCAGACATCGGGGGTGGAGGTGGGGTGAAGCTTACTGCTGGGCCTTAGTAAATTCCTAGAGCAGTGGAAGGAACAGAAACAAGGTGAATAATAGCAGTGCCTTTCATTACAGAGTCTCAGGACTCTTGGATTTACTGAGCATTTCCCTGTACACAGAACCAGAAAGAGCCCAACTGGAGGAGACCAGATTTCATACAAGTTTGTTTTTTTTTTTTTTCATTTTCTTTCCTCTTCTTTTCTTTTAGTGGGGCAGGAGACTTTGAAAGATATAGAAAAACACACAGAATAACATAACGGACCCCCTAAGTGCCCACACTCCAGAATGAACAAATGTTAATATTTTGTAATGATGACTCCAACTTTTTTTTAGGTAAAGTAGCTGAAACATCACTGATAAAGCTGTACCCTTTCTTTTATTTCACAGATGGGCAAAGTGAGGAACAGGAGGCTCCAAGACTTGACTGAGGTGTGCAGCCGCTGTCAACTCTCCTACCCCCATGCGAACTGGGACCTTACAAGGAGACTCTCAGGAGGGTAAGAGGAGCATTGTTGTCCCACTTTAGAGATGAAGAGCTGGGGTGTGTGAGCCCCTCTGTTCTGGGCTCTGTGCTGGGCTCAGGGGACAGAACAGATGACAAAACTCAAAGCACCTCAAAGCAGCCTCAATCCCAGGAGACGTCCCATGGAAATGTCTGCACTTCATAGGGGTGTATTTTAATCAATCATGCATCATTGCCAAAGAAAAACAGAATATTCTGCCACCCCACAAGAGGCTATAGTGATTTTTATTTTTACCAGTAGATTGCTCTACTTATGAATCTTTGATAAATTCCCTCCCATACAAATGTCATCTGAACCTGTTGACAGTTTTCCAAAAAAAAAGTGAAATCTGACAAGGGATGAGAGCTGGCCTGCTGCGTGTTTCAGAGCTTCTCAGGAGGCAGCCCTGGGCGCTGCATGGGTTAAAAGCCTGCGCTGGGGGTGTGTTGCGTTTGGTAAAGCCACGTGTGCTCAGGCCAGACCTGAGCAGCTCCGCGGGGTCCACCAGCTGCGACCTCTGTGCAGACTCCAAAAATACCCAACTCTGCAGACTCACGCCTGGCCCTGGGGAGGTGGAGAGGCTTCTGAATTGACAGCTCCGTTTACACACCATCTATGAGTTAAAAACAAACAAAAACAAAACGAAACAAAGAAAAGAAAAGAAAAAAAACCAGATGGGCTTTTTCGTGTGGATTGATTTCAGCTCCAGAGTGTTTGCTGGTCATTTCAGGGTGCCTGGAACTCCTTGGAATTATTCCAGGAAAGTAAAGGGCAGCAAAGCGGAGCCTGCAGCCCAGCTTGGGCAGGGGTGGGGCGCTGGCCTAAGGCCAGCTTGGCCTGGACCACTTTGCCCCCGCGCCCTGGGGGCAGATCGTAGCGTGGAACTCCACAGTTCAAACTTTTGAGAGAGAAAATGTGTCTGGTTTGCCTGAAACAGATCTTGGGGCTCACACCGGGACGTGCGCACTGCTCTGCCGGGCAATATGCAGGCGATGCCCTGGGAGAAGTACCTCCCTCAAGCGTGCCCCCTCCCAGGCCCACGGGAGGACTTTCAAAGACGTCTCTGGCAGCTGAAGACAGAAAAAACCACAGGGCTGCTGGTTTATCAGCTGAAAGCAGCCCCTTCCTGGCCTCAGCCCAACCCCCTGGCCTGCAGAGGGACACAGACAGAAGCGGCACGCTCAGGAGCTGACTCTCACCCAAGAGTTGTCCTCCACCCTCAAAGCTGCCTGGAAGAGATTGCTGGGAGTCGTGGTGCCTTCTGCCTTCCCCTCTTTTGTTTAATTGGGTACTGAGTCACTTTTCAAGACACTTCAGGTCAACAGACAAGCAGACCTAAAGAGGGCTGGGCAGTGTTGAACACACCATACTAACTTCATAATCGGGTGCTTCCAGGAAAACACCAGCAAGATGTTTCTAAACTAGATCAACTCTAGAATGCTTGGATGAAAAAGCTTACGAGTGCTGGAGGTGGCCTTGTGTGACACAGGAAAGCTGGCTTTACAATGGCCCTGTGAAGAGGAAATTAAGCAGGGGGGAAATTAAAACAGTGATTCCTTGAGCGGGGTTTGGAAAGGTTTGATTAATTGCAAGCCCATCATTTCTGAAAACTCATCAGTGGTGTGTGAGAGTTCCAGCACTCCAAGGCGCCATCCGTTACTATTAGTATCCGTCTGCTTTATTGTGATCATTCCAATAGGTGCATAGTGATATCTCACCGTGATATTAATTTGCATCTCTCTAATGACTAATAATGTTGAGCATCTTTTCATACACTTACTTGTCACTCATAATCTTCTTTGGTGGTATGCCAAAATGCTGAAGTATTTTGCCCATTTTTTAATTGGGTTATTTGATTTCTTACTCCGTTTTGGGAGTTCTTTATCTATTATATGATAAAAGCACCTTGTTAAATATATATGAGTTAACAAATGTTTTCTCCCAGTTTATAGCTTGTCTTTTCATTTTCTTAACAATGACTTTCATTTTTAATTTTGAAGGAGTCCAATATGCCAGTTTTTTCTCTTACGGATTGTGTTTTTGATGTTGTATCTAAGAAATCTTTGCCTAGCCCAAGGTTACAAAGATTTTCTTCTTTTTTCTTGTAGAAGCTGTAGATATTTCAATCTATGATGAACCACTTCGAATTAATTTTGTATGTAATGGGAGGTGTGGGCTGAAGTTCTTTTTTTTGCCTATGATATCCCAGTGCACTTTTAGCATTTGTTGAAAAGATTATCATTTATCCACTGCATTGACTTGCACCTTTGTCAAAAACCAGTTGTCCATACTTTAATGGGTCTGTTTGGGGACTCCTAATTCTGAAGTTCCATTGATGGTTGTGTTTCTCTTTATTCCACTGTCCTGATTATTGTAACTTTGTAAGTCTTGAAACCGAGCCATGTTAATTCTCCAAATTTGTTCTTCTTTTGCAAAGTGGTTTTGACTCTTCCAAGTCCTTTGCCTTTCTCAAGTTTTAGAATCAGTTTATCAGTTTCTACAAAAAAACCCTGCTGAGATATTGATCAGAATTGCATTGACTCTTAAAAATATTGAGCCTTCTAACCTATGAACATAATATCTATTTAGGTTCTCTTTAATTACTTTCAGCAATATTTTGTAACTCTCAATGCATAGATCTTGTGCATCTTTTGTCAAATTCATCCTTGTTTACACTTCATGATACTATTATAAATATTTCTAAAATTTCAATTTCCAACTGTTTATTATAAGTACACAGAAAGACTGTTGATTTTTGTACATTATTCTTGTGTCTTATTTTTCTACTAAGGTCACTTTTTTAGTTCTAGTAGCTTTTTAGGTCTATAGGATTGTCTACATAGACTCTCATGTCATCTGTGTCATCTGTAAATAAGGACAGTTTTAATGCTGTATTTCCGATATGGATCTCTTTTATTCCTATTCCTATTTCTGCACTGGATGGAATCTTCCATACAATAAAGAACAGAATATGTGAGAATTTCTGATCTCAGAAGGAAAGTGTTCAGTCTTTCAACAATGATGTTAACTATAAGTTAGATGCCCCTTATAGGGTTGAGGAAGTTCGCATCTATTGTTATTTTTTCTGAGACTGCCTTGATTTCCCTTTCATTCCTGAAAGATCTTTTCACTAGAAAGGACTTTTCAGCTGGATATAGGATTCTGGGTTAGACATTCTTTCCTTTCAGCACTTGAAAGTACTCTGGCCTCCATGTTTTCTAATGAAAATTTGCTGTCATTCAAGTTTTCCCCCCATAGGCCATGTGTCATTTCTTTCTGTTTTGCATATACACATATATATATATATTTCTTTTCTCTTTGTTTTTCAGAAGTTTGACTGTGATATAGCTTGATAGGGATTTCTTTGGGTTTATCCTGTTTGAGGTTTGCTTAGTTTCTTAAATCTGTGTGTTTAGGGTTCTTTTTAACATGTTTGGAAGTTTCAAGCTATTATTTAATTGAGTACTGTTTGAGTTCTGCCCTCTTTTCCTCTCCTTCCAGAACTCTAATTATTAGTCACAGAAGTGAGATCTTTTGTTAGAGCCACCCAGGTCCATGAGGCTCTATTCCTCTTTTTTTCCAGCCCATTTTTCTTCTCTCTGTTGTTCAGATTGGATATTTCTGCTGTTGTTTCAATAACTGTATTTTTAAGTTCTAAGATTTCTATTTGGTTCTTCTTTGTATTTTATCTTTCTTGCCTGGGACTTCCTATTTTCTCATTTGTTTCAAGAGTATTTGTCATTGCTCTTTGAAACATTTTTATGGCAGTTGCTTTGCAATGCCTGTCAGGTAATTCTAACATCTCTACCCTCTTAGTGTTTGCTTTATTAATTGGTTGTTTTCAGATCATCCTGGTTCTTGGTATGTTCAGAGATTTTCTATTGAAATCTTGACATTTTGGATATTGTGTTGTGAAATACCGGCTATCATTTTAATCATCTGTTTGAACTGGCTTCTTCTGATGCTGCTCCAGTAAGGGAAGGTGAGGGGCAGTGGTGAGCTGCCCCATTACTACCAGGTTGGGGTAGAAGCCCAGATTCCCCACTCTGCCTTTGTTGACACAGAGGCAGAAGTAAGAAGGAGGTCTCCATCTTATTGCTGGGTGAGGGTGGAAGTTCTGGCTCCCCACAGCGCCCCCCACTGGTAGCTCCCTCCAGTGGAGGAGTTGCAGTGCCTTGTTGCTCCCAGTGACCTTGTTACCACTGAGAGGAGAAGAGAATCCTGACTCGCCCTTGGCCTCCTCTGATACCACTCTAGTGGGTATAGGGAGGACAGCCTCGTTATTGCTGGGTGGGGGTAGAAGTCCAGGCTCCTCAAACGGTCTTTGCTGATTCTGGGAGGAGCTCGCTTACACTGGGCAAAGATGAAAATCTCAACTCCTTGTCAGCCTTCTCAGACACCACCCTGGGGTGGGAGAAGTCAGAAGATGGGGAAGGAGAGAAACTTGGTAGAGGGACATCCACCCACATGCCCTCCTCACCTCACCACATCTGTCACCGGAGCTGTGGCTCAGTGCAAATCCTGGCCAGGTTGCTGTTTATGTTTTTCTCATTTAACTCTCCACCCACCTTGTGGGGTAGGCAGTCATGCAGTGCTCTATGTTCTTACAGACAGGGAAGTGGAGACAGGGAGGTTGAGTAATTTGCCCAATGTTAGCACGAGACTAAAGAAGAATTCTAAGCCAGTTCTGTCTCATGCTAACACCCTTGCTTTTTAGCCACTGTGTTTTATTGTTCGGTCAATTCTTAATAGAGGGAATGAATGTCTTTTGGAGATATGAGTTTACAGAGGCCAGAGGAGGGACCTAGAAAACAGCTAGAAAATGTTCCCAGGAGAGGAGTGGGGTGCACTGGACCTGCTCAGCTCTCAGAAAAACCTTCTGTGGATGTCCATGTGGCAGGGGGAGAATGGCAGAGTTTTCTGGGAAGGAGTTGGGATTCCAGAATTGGGAAAACCTAGATTCGAACCCAGGCTCCATGCTAATCCCACAAATG